CTTCGGTTCAAGATGCTCACTATCAAGCAGATAGTATCTCAGATCCAGTCCGAGGACTGGTTTGTTACGATAGATCTCAAAGACGCTTATTTCCATGTTTCCATCCTCCCTCAACACTGGAAGTTCCTGAGGTTTGCTTTCGGGGGCGAAGCATCGAGTTCTCGAGTTCTTCTCTTCGGCCTGTTACTCTCACCTCGCACTTTCACGAAGTGTGTGGATGCTGCTCTGGGGTTCGCATGATGGTTCCTGGTTCAAGCCCCGATGTTAGGGGCTCCTTGTCATCGCATAATGCTAACGACGGATGCCTCTCTAACGGGCTGGGGAGCGGTCATGAGTGGACGCTCTGCCCAGGGTCTGTGGGAAGGCCATCATCTCTTTTGGCACATCAACTGCCGGGAAATGCTGGCCGTGTTTCGAGCTCTGACACACTTCCTTCCAGACCTAAGGGGGCATCATGTGCTTGCCCGCACAGACAACACATCGGTGGTCTCCTACATCAATCGGCAGGGGGGTCTGCGTTCGCGCCCCTTGTACAAGCTGGCACGCCAGATCCTTCTGTGGGCTCAGGGGAAGCTCCTCTCTCTAAGAGCAGTTTATATCCCTGGGTATCTAAATCAGGGGGCAGATATCTTGTCGAGACAGGGGCTGAGGTCCGGCGGATGGAGGCTCCACCCACCCCGAGGTGGTGGAGCTCATTTGGAGGGAATTTGACCAGGCGGAAGTGGATCTATTTGCGTTGCAGGAAACGACACACTATCCGCTCTGGTTTTCCCTCACGCATCCAGCTCCACTGGGGCTTGATGCCATGGTGCAGACGTGGCCGAGGCGTCGTCTGTACGCTTTTCCCCGATCGCTCTGCTCCCGGGAGTTCTGGAGAGGGTCCGTCTGTTGCTAGTAGCCCAATTCTGGCTGGCCCGAGTATGGTTCTCGGACTTGGTGTCCCTCCTCGACAGCTCTCCGCTGGAGATTCCGATCAGGAGGGACCTCCTCTCTCAGGCGGGGGACACCATTCTTCACCCCCGCTCGGAGTTATGGAAGCTGTGGGCATGGCCCCTGAGGGGGCACAGCTCCTAGCATCTGGTCTCTCAACTGAGGTTGTTGAGACTATACTCCAGTCCAGAGCTCC